TGAATAACTTTGTTCTAATTATAACTGATAAGTAAATTATCAGCAAAAGATTTTTTTTTTATTTTATTTATTTTTTTTTTAAGTTAACTACTCCTTTAAGAGTGCATTTAACTCCACAGAAAACCACAACATACAAATCTATAAGCCTACACTTTTGCAGAGCTAGCCTATCTCATGCACTTAATTCTAGTTTGAAAATAGCATATGTGATTAGCATCCCAACTTGATTATGCGCATCTGCTTGGGCACATGCGTATCTGCTTGGGCACATGCGTCTTCATGGCGTGTGAATAGGCTAAACCACCCACTTGTTTAAAACACACTGACTCGAACTTTGTTGAGCAAGAAACCTGACAAAGAAGTAATGAAATTACATTTCAAAGATGACTTTCACACGGAAAGTCTTCCGAATGGATAACAAACAGTAAATTGCTTAAGTAAAACATGTAGGTAACGTTGAGTGTTGTGTGACAAACGCCTGAGGTTTAGAAAGCAGTCACCTGCACTTTGGCTCTCTGGGAACAACAGTTAAATGACTAATTGAAAATGATGACACGGTCTTGACTACATGCAGAAAACACGAACTAAAATATTACATTTGCTTACAAAAAACAGTGATTGAGGGTCACTGCTATGTTGAGCAGTTTCACCGAGAACAGCTTAAGACTTCAGCTGGCCCACGGCAGATGGACAGCCACAGGTCACAGGACCGAATTTCAATGCATTCTCACGGTGCATCTCCATACGGCACACGTTCTGTTTTATCAGAACGCATCTACAAACATAGACATTCGATTAAACTCTTAGTGAATTTGTTGTAGTATTTAAACAGACGATTTGGGCGTGCGCTGAATGAGTAAACTACACATGCGTTACGCGCAAAGGAACCTTATGTATGACGTTAAAATAGGATAATTTAATATATATAAAAACATACAGTGATATCCACTTCTAGCTGCTAAAAGGTGTTTCTCGCACTCGCAGGACTGACTTATATGCACAAGAGTTTGGGTTTTCTGGACGATTGGCCGTGATGGCCATATGGCCGTGAAACATCCAGAAGCTCATGTTTGCTTTTTGTTTGTGGGTGAATGCGCATAATGATGCTAATGCGGCGGAATCAGAGATCGTGAGTCGTAAAGTGGCATTGTGCACGGGGGCCGAGTGTGACCTCAGTGATAAATCACATTGACTGCGGGTTAAGGGAGGTTGGGGGAATCCTTTTCACAGCGCGCGATTCGCCACGCGCGCAAACTTCTCCAGTGAGACACAATAGCGCGCTGATATCCTCCAGTTACCCTTCATCCACAGAATTCTAGCTGCGTGGTTTAGACATTTTATTACAAAATTCGCTAAGTATGAAAACTACTGGCTGGTTATAGTGCTTATATTTTTTTTTTTCTTTTTTTTTGTTCCCCTACATTTTTCTTACTCAAGTTTATAAAATGATTGGTGCAATAAATACGATTTTAAATATTAGAACACTGTAAAAGTGAAGCCAAAGTGAAAACATGCAGGGATCGATGTCGACCACTTGTTTGTAAAATGAACTGAAACTCTGGAAGCATTATAGGTGAAATAGGTGGAAACAAATGTGTTATAATGATGAAAATATTTCTATAGTGGGAAGTACCCAAAGTGTGCCGGGGTGACTCAAGAAACTTTGGTCTTGAATAAATGTCCTTTTATCTATTGTTAAGGCACACTTCTAAAACTCTGTCCTCCTCATGGCGAGATCTGTTTGCCAGCTCCACCTCAATCACTGCTCTTTCTTTCCTTCATTGCCTTTTCTTTTCTTTTCATGGATGTACTGCCGTGGGGCGAGGAGGGGAGGCTGGAGTTTGGAGAGGGTGGGGGCCACAGTCTGAGGTGGGCTGCAAGGGGCCAGTCAGTGTTCTCAGAGTCACAGACAGAGCACACACACACACAAGGAGCTGCGCCTCCCACACACCCGCGCACCAACTCACACACAGTCAGACGAAGAGGAAAGTGGATGTGTGCAGCACCAATATCGCGTCTTGACGCGTTCTCCGAGGCGCTGAAAAAACACAGAGAGGGGAAGTGCTGGTTCCTCGACTCCATTTGCATCTGAGGATTTATCATGCTTTAATTTACACCGAACAAACGACCAGCCGGTTTTCTCTGTGTGCGGAATTGCCCACGGCTTCAAAAATGGGGACAACTAAATACTCCAACGAAAGGAATGTACTGTTTTGCAAGATGCTTCTGAAACTTATACTTCTGGCGGTCGTGGCGCACAGAGTTTCAGGGAAGACTTTAAAATACAAAGTTTCGGAGGAGCAGAGAGTCGGGACTGTGATTGCCAGACTGAAAGAGGATGTAGCCGGTATTTTATCCAAACTCCCGAGCTCCGTGTCTCCGCGCTTCCGCGCGATGCAGAGAGGCAGCACCCCTCTACTTTCCGTGCGCGAGGAGGACGGAGAGATCAGCATCGCCACCAAAATCGACCGCGAGAAGCTCTGCGAGAAAAACTTAAACTGCACTATCGAGTTCGACGTGATCACGCTTCCCACGGAATACCTCCAGTTGTTTCACATTCAAGTGGAAGTGTTGGACATCAACGACAACGCTCCGCAGTTCTCGCGCGCCATAATCCCCATAGAGATATCAGAGAGCGCGTCTGTGGGCACGCGCTTCCCTTTGGATAGCGCGTTGGACCCGGATGTCGGGGACAACGCGCTACACACCTACTCGCTCACTCGGAATAACTTTTTCAAAATCGATATCAGGACGAGAACGGATGGCGCAAAGTATGCAGACCTTGTTGTGATGAGGGACCTTGACAGGGAAACACAGTCCAGCTACCAACTACAACTCACAGCGTCAGACTCTGGCGTGCCGCCGAAATCTGGTTCAACACTGCTTAAAATCAGCATATCTGATTCCAACGATAATAGCCCGGCGTTTGACGAGCAGGCTTATGTGGTCAACCTCCTAGAAAATTCATCACTGGGCACGCTACTAGTGGACTTGAATGCCACAGACCCAGATGAAGGCAATAATGGGAAAATAGTGTATTCTTTCAGCAGTCACGTGCCACCCAAAATCCTGGAGACATTTAAAATTAATCCAGATAATGGCCACATCACTCTAATTAAAAAAGTGGACTACGAAACTACTTCCTCATATGAAATAGATGTGCAGGCCCAGGATATGGGTCCCAACTCCATTCCAGGCCATTGTAAGATAATCATCAAAGTGGTTGATGTCAACGACAACAAGCCAAAAATCAACATCAACCTTATGACTCAGGGTAAAGAGGAGGTGGCCTACATCTCAGAGGCCTCCCCTGTCGATACCTTCATCGCATTAGTGCGCGTGGATGACAGCGACTCAGGTCTAAACGGCGAGGTTGTGTGCCGTCTTCATGGCCACGGGCATTTCCGCTTGCAGAAGACCTACGAGAACAACTACATGATTCTCACAAATGTGTCGCTGGACCGTGAGAAGCGCTCTGAATATAGCCTGACGGTGATCGCTGAAGACCGCGGCTCGCCAAGCCTATCCACCATCAAACACTTCATAGTGCAGGTGCAGGATGAAAACGACAACCCTCCTCGCTTCGAAAAGAGCCGGTATGAAATCTTCAAGTCTGAGAACAATTCGCCGGGGGCATACCTGACGTCAGTGGTGGCCACCGACCCAGATTTGGGCTCTAACGGTCAGGTGACCTATTCAATTGTGGAGAGCCAGGTTCAAGGTAGCTCTATTTCAACCTATGTGACCATTGACCCATCCAACGGGGCTGTGTACGCGCTCCGAAGCTTTGATCGGGAAGAAGTTGGCCGTCTTTCGTTCACCGTGCAAGCGAGGGATGGCGGAGGCCCAGTTTCGCAGAGCAGCAATGCCACGGTTTTCCTCACTGTACTAGATGAAAATGATAACGTACCCATCATTGTTGCTCCACTACTAATAAACCACACAGCTGAGGTGCCATTATGGAGGCATGCTGAGGCTGGTCATCTGGTGACAATCATAAAGGCCACAGATCGTGATGCAGGGGCCAACAGCGAGTTGACTTGCTCCATAGTTGGTGGTAATGATGAAGGACTTTTTGTCATTGACCCACGTAGATGTGAGTTACGAACCAACGGAAGCGTTGAGGCCTCTGGGCGTGAGGGATTTGATCTCGCAATCCTAGTACAAGACAGAGGGGCATCGATTCGGCTCTCTGCGAGGGCCGTTCTGCACGTTAGTCTGCGGGACTATCCAGAAAGCTACTCCCTGAACCCTTCAGACATAAACAACCAATCGGCTCTAGACGTATCTATGATCATTATCATTTCCCTCGGTGCCATCTGTGGTGTACTTCTCATCGTTATGGTGATGTTCGCAACCAGGTGCTCGAGAGAGCAGAAGGACCCAAGACATTCCTATAACTGCAGAGTGGCTGAGTCCACCTACCAAAACCATCCCAAAAAACCTGCTCGGCAGATCCACAAGGCCGATATCACATTGGTCCCTACTGTAAATGGGACCCTGCCTGTGAGGGCCCATCCTCGCTCCCCGTCAGCCTCACCTGCTCCAGAGAGTCGCCAGAGCCACCACAGCCGCCAATCACTCAACAGCCTGGTCACCATCTCCTCCAATCACGTGCCAGAGAACTTCGCCCTAGAGCTTGCTCATGCCACACCCCCCGTCGAGGTAAAAAAAAATTTGTTCAGTAACTATTCAAAGTGAACTCTGTTTATTCCTATTTAATTCCCCCTAAACCTGTTACAATACCCAATGTTTGTTTTATTTATAGCATGTTTATTTGTACGTATAGCCATAGATTGTTTCATCATGCTTAAGTATCCATCCATATCATTCCCTCATTCACCCCACCAATCCCCTCCCCTGTCCACCCGATCACTACCATGGTTTGTTTGTATTTGTGTTGGTTTGCTGTCTGGTCTGCCATTATTCATTTTTATTTCCATTTTTTTTCTTTCTTTGTTTGTTTCCCGCCCTGTTTCCTTTTCTTTTTGGCTATAGCAAGTCTCACAGCTTCTGTCCATACTTCATCAGGGCCAGTACCAACCCAGACCCAGTTTCCGTGGCAACAAATACACCCGGAGCTACAGGTAACCAATCACTTCAGCCTGTTGCCGCCTTTAACAGACCGTCCTACAGAGGGTTCAAAGTTCTAGTCCGTGAGAGTCTGGACACCCTGGAGTACTTTAGTAATAGATGCTGACCATAAATGAAAGCTGCATCATGTTAGCAAGTCAACTGCCCTTTGAATAACCCCTTTTTTGTTTATGCATTAACTGCTGCCTCCTTAAGAGGCCCATTTTTTTTTTCACAGCACCAATAAATTAAAAAGTAAAAAAAAAAAAGTGTGATAGTGGATATACAGCAGCTAAGTCAAAGCTATTGTAATAGCCAATTTTGTTTGTTCATTGTCCCTAGGTACGCTTTGAATGAGATGGATAAGTTCAGCCTGAAGGACAGTGGACGAGGGGATAGTGAGGCAGGAGACAGTGATTGTGAGATGGGGAGGGAGTCTCCTCTTCTTGGAGAAGGCTTCAGTGAGCTCTTCACTCCTGATGGACACCACAGACTGCATCCAAGTAAGCAAGAGATGAGATTCTGAGGAGGACTCCTTTAGATGAAGCTGTAGATACCAGACCTTTAAAAAAAGTTACAAAAAAATGTAACAAAGAAATGTAATTGTTCTCTGGACAGCATTACTCAAGACTTCACGCACACACTTGTGACTATAACCTCCATTTACAATGTTTCTCTTAAAGATGAAACAGCCTTTGAAACACAAAATGGTTTTTGATGGAAAAAAATATATATATGCTTGATCTATAATACAATCATTAATGTGACTAGAACATGAATTGGGTTGTGCACAGGGATGGATCATAGATTTCTGTAAATCAGCATGTTCAATCATTCATTCTCTGCATGAGAGAGTGAGATAAATGAGGGCCTGTTTTGCAAATGCACCAGACTGGGCATTTATTAACTGTAAGATCTATTATAAATGGCCTTTCAAGATGAATGACACTATAATCAGCTCCTAGAACATGAATGAGTAATGCCGAACATGTTCAATGAACGCTATAAGTTGGCATATTTGATTTGTTTTCCATAAAACAAAGCTGGCTCGGATGGAACTGGAAAGATTTGTTCTTCCAATTGATGTATTTGACTAGCTAAGGGTGTGTGCAGTCTTTGCATGTTGTGCCAGAAACAACAATCATTAACTAACCTCTTCCACTAATGCTTTTGTTTCCTTTCTAATCACTGTAGCGATGAAGCTGTGCACTGAAGAGTGTCGTGTCCTCGGTCACTCTGACCAGTGCTGGATGCCTCCGTTGCCTTCCCCAGCCTCCTCCGACTACCGCAGTAACCTCTACATCCCCGGAGAAGATCCCCAGCAGAAAGCCACCCCTGAAGCACCACAATCTGGCGAGTCAACACTGAGGAAGAAGTGTTTCTCCACATTTGGTAAGGAGAGCGAGGAGGGAGAGGGGGAGGCAGGTGATGGGGAAGACCTGTGCGGAACGAGTTCTCTGTTGTCTGAAATGAACAGCGTGTTCCAGAGACTCCTCCCGTCCTCCCTGGATAATTACAACGAGACTAATGAAACTGAAAAGGCAACAGTGTGTGCTGCAGGGGTGGGGTCGTTGGAAAGAAGGAAGGGCCACTTACCTGGAAAGCCAAGCCCTGCCACTTATCAGCAGAACGTGGCTGTTTGGGCTGCTAATACACACTTTCAAAATCCTGGACATGGCCACGCCCCTGCTAGTCACATGACTGCCCTGGTGGCTCCACTCCCCGCCCCTCTGCCAGCTACCATGGCAACAACAGCTTCCTCTTCAAAATGGCTCCCTGCAATGGAAGAAATTCCGGAGAATCATGAGGAAGACGAGTTAGAGTCTGTGCTCGGCCACTTGCACGGGAAGCGCTGTGACAGTCGCAGCGAAATTATGGACGCCAGCGAGCTGGTGGCTGAAATCAACAAACTCCTTCAAGATGTCAGGCAAAGCTGAAGACTAAACTCTCGCTCTCTACAATAAAATATTTTTTTTATATACATATATATGTATATGAGACTGAAGATGAAAAAAAAAACAAAAAACGCAGAGACCTGCAATTGTCATTAAAGTTGCATTTCTGGATGTAATGTGTTTTGTGAATGCTAATTATCCAAATGATGTTTGTATTTTCTGGTTTTGGGGCACAGTGTACACAATGTGAGTGTATTTATCTTTGTATTTTAAAAATACAATTTGTAGTCTTTATATTTATATATGTGTATATACCTAAGTTAAAATGTATATAAAGAGATTTCTATTTTTATATATGCATGTTGGGAAAATAATCAAAATCAACATGCCTTGATGTGAATATTCTTATTTATTCTTATTTCTTATTTATCTTTCCCTTTTCAGTGGTGTTGTTATATATGAGCATAATATAAGTACGTTAATATTATTGAGTATGTGTTATGTGGGGTGGGACAGTTACTGAAAGCATGTTTTAGGGGTGAGTGGTATTTATAATGGTGTATACTTTGTGCCAATTCTGTTTTACATTAAACAAATGACAAAATAAAGAGAAATGAAGATATGTCAAACATACACTTCTGGTTTGACTTTTTTTTTTAAGTTTCTCTGTTTATTTTTATATATTTAAAGCAATAGCCTATACTTGTAAATTACAGCATGTTACTCCGTTTAGTTTTTATGTTCCTGAAATTTCCAGTAAAATGGGAGTGTGCAGTTGTGTTCCTCCTCTTCACAGACCTTGCAGGGAAAATGCCATTTTTAGTCACATTTACTCTGCACTCGTTATGAGCGCCGCCTACTGACGGAAAGAGTCATTATATTTCATTAATGATTGAAAGGGTGCAAGCAAGAATAATGCACACAGAGATAAGTGAGGTAAAAGAGAAAACATTACTTGTTGATGTACTCAATTTATAATTGTGAGACACAAAAGTGAATAATATGTCACTAAAGTAATATAAACTATGTTTCACAGTGTAATCACTGAAGGAGAAATTAGATTATTTGTTCTGACTAGAGCCCCCTAGAGGCGGGATAGCAGAACAACAGCAACTGTGTCCTTGGCATATTCCACGTTTTTGTTGTCGTTGTTGATGAGAACAAATAACTCGAATAAAGTATTACCTAAAATTTAGCATTAAAATTCATTAAAAAAAAACAAAACAAAAAAAAAACATCAAATGTCTGAAACTCAAACATTGTAATAATTTGTCATAATTCAGTCGTGACTGTACAAACTTCTTTCCCCTTACACTAACCATTCCCCTAAACCTGTCCATCACGGAAAACTAGCTGCAGTTAAAAAAATAAAATAAAATAAAAAACCACTTATGATGCATAAGCTTTTTTCCTCATGGGGAGCAAATATTACACAAGGACATGGATTTAGCATATTGCCATCACACACATTTCCGAGCAAATTAATGCTGCATATTTTTGTTATTTACAAAAGTAATAGCTGATAAACAGTTTAGAGTCATAATTTAGCTTGACCTTTTTCATCCAACTTCTCAGTAACCAGATTTACTTTTCTGGCAACACAAGTCTTGAAAATATGCTAAACGAAATGCTTAGTGATGACATTTAAAGACATATATGACTAAATATAAGGTGTTATTTTGTAAGCTAAGAATTTTCAAACTCAAACAAAATGAGAATGTTTTGTCCCTCCTATTTGAGTTGCTCAAGGAAGAAAATAACAACCTCTCTGAAAGCTTATTTTGACATACATTGGCCTTGACTTTCAGCTTAAAGTGAAAAAAAAAATAAAGAGAGAGAGAGAGAGAAAGTAAAACCTATGCTACTTTCTATCTCCCTCTCACTCTCTTTATTCACACACATTACACACATGCATAATCCTGTGACTTCTTTTCTTATGTGCTGTAGCCCTAAGGACACTGAACAGACCTAATCTGCCTAATTTTGCAATATTTGTGCATTGTAATTCAATTGTACAGTAAACTTGTATTGCTTTAAATGAATAATTCATTCCGTTTCTCCTTCCCCTCTATTTTTTGCTGTGCCTTTTTTGCATCTGGGAAAACATGCCAAGCTACGCATTGCATACAAAGTCATGTCACTCTGGAGAGTTCTTGTCACCAAGCAGGTTGATAAATTGACATAATTACTGAGGTGAGTTTCTGATTAGCTTGCGGTGGAGTCGAGGGTGTAAATTCACGTCTTCCTCTTCGTCTCTCACGTGTCTACCTCTAAAAATACACCTGTCTTCTTCCTCCATCATTTCAAGTCCTGATGATAAGTCTGCTAACAGTCTCTTATCATTATCACTTTGTGTATGTGTGTGTGTGATCTAGGAGCAGCAATAACTGTGGGTGATTGTGAGTCTTTTAGAGACTAAAATAGCTTTAGTCTTATTTGCTTCCTATAAAAGCACGAAATTACACAAAGAGATCATTTTGTTTTCGCCCCATTCTCGTTCTCCCCTCGTATCTCTCAGGTGGAACATATTTTATGACCAAATGCTTTCTCCCATGATGCATTATGAAAACAGCAAAACATCTGTGGCTGTTCAGTGCAGCTGTTGGCCAGAGCATCGCCGTATGACACTTTTGGTAGCCAGCCAGCTTTTCAGTAAAGCATGGCAAATTACAAGAAAGGCATGAGCTGGTGTGTTTAATGGTCTGGAAGTGCCAATAGCTGACTTGTATCTCTTTCAAGGTGTATATCCAAGTACTACCTAGCAATGGACTTCTGTGGAACATAAAATAATATATGAAGAGTTCAGATGCAAAAGCCTCTAAGTGCCATTTGAAATTTTCTTCTAAAATGATCATTTTTATCAAGCTTGTATATTTAAGTTAAGTAATTTCATTTAAATGGCAATGAAGATTACCTATTAATTGTCATTTAAGTGAAATTACTGAACTTAAATATACAAGCTTGATAAAAATGGTCATTTTAGAAGAAAATTTCAAATGACATTTAGAGGCTTTTGCATCTGAACACTTCATATTTAGAAACAAACGTCTGTGTATTTATACAGTGAAAATTTGTGACTGATTATATGTAAAACAGCTGGAGCATTCTTCAAAACGTGTAGTTTTTTGTTCCACAAAAGAAAGAAAGTCATTTAGGTTTAAAATGGTAAGTATTTTGGATGAACTGTCCCTTTAACTAGTCTATAGGTTGAATATATTTCAACATGAAAGTCAGAATGCAATATTTGAGTGGCTGGCATATATAAAAAAGTCATTTACTGCAGGACTATATTCCATTTGTTTCTGAATACACCTATTTTCATTCTCCATCAAACGAACAAGAACAGACTTGGCATTTTAAATTGGCTCATTAATTCTTGTCTAATAAGTGTGCATATTAATTTAGAGCTCTTGAGCCAGAAAAGGTTGTGGCGTCTTCCATTCCAGCTTCTGGGGTTATATGTGTTTAAAGACCTTATAAGATAAACAGAATGATGAATTATTTGGTTACATACTCATTTCCGACCTCTGTTCCTTAACATAAAAGTTATGATCATTAATTTTATGAGAATTATGATAACTTCTATCAGAATTATCATTGTGCCATGTTTCTTGCACACTGTCATTGGACATTAGAGCTTCATTCATATTTTGACAATTTACAGCTAGTTATATTTGGTAATATTACAGCAGTACTCTCTCTCTCTCTCTCTCTGTTCCTTTAGTGGTACAACAGCTTGCCACTAGGTAAATTAACTTAGAGGACCATCTTTGTATCTCATTTACCCCTAAAAGGTTCATAGCAATATCTTCATGGGTAGCTATCATACAAAGTAGGAAGGCATCACACCAATAAAGGTAGACTTTTTGCATATTGTTTTCTGAATAAACAAATAAATCTGAGTAATAGTAATAATATGACCAGTCAGTGATTCCTATGGAATGAGGAAAGTATTTTATAAATGATTATGTGCTTAGAAAACATTTAAGACACATTATATATTCATGCATATATCGACATTTAATTGAGCACACAGCACCTGAGACCTCATGTGACAAACATGATTGTTCGTCATCCATAATGCATGTGCAGTGAAATGCCGGCATATATGCTGACACCAGTATGTTTTACTGACAAAAAGGTGTGTGGTGTGTTATGTCTGACATCACTGGGGCTGATTTTCACCACTAGATGGCATTATTTCTACAGATGCCCTCACTTTCATACATTGCATTAATATGCACATCCAGACAGTCATTATCATTGGGTGGGTTCCTTATCAGTTCATTAAAAAATATAAACCTGCCCTGCAGACCAACCGCATGGAGATCTATG